AGCCTCAACGGACGATGTGCTCAGCGAATGTCTGAATGGGGAACTGGAGGAACCATCATGGGTGGAGGACTGCCTCGGGGCAGTCACCCCCAAACTGGAGCAGTGGCTACAACAGATCCCAATAACAACATCAGACATCTCAGTCCAGAAATGTGCAGTTCTAGGCACAGCCAAGATACTGGAGGAGAACCTCAAGCTCCCAGGCCTCTGGTAGAGGACCCGAGCTCAGAGGATGAAAGAGACCACCCACGGAGGGTGAGAGGGGAATTTTTTTTATATATATATATATATTAGAGATGTGCCGATCAGGTTTTTTCCTGCCGATACCGATCACATAATTATTATTTATTTATTTATCATAAACACTACCGGTTACATTATGTGGAAAAAGGAACCATGAATTCACCTTAATTTAGACAAAAACTTGTTTTTAATAGCTTTTTCCAAGAAGAAAACTAAACAAAACAGGCATTGTGCAAATTGTACTGCTATTGGTAGTGCTATCTTTAACAGACTGAAAACATGAAGGCTCTGAAGAGGCTAAATAATGCAAAGAGCCAAAATAAAACCTCTCAACATTGCCAGTCCTGGCTACCCGCTGGGCTTATTAACTGGAGGAAACCCTTGATTAGTTGGTAACTGACCATTTTCTTAAAAACCTGAGTTTTCTCTTGTATGAAGAGGGTTGTCCATCTTTCCATGACATAAAGGGCAATATTTTTTGGAATATGTTGAATTAAAAATATTTTGTGTCAGCTGTGTTAAATACTGACTGAACAGAAAATTGTGGTTCTCACATTGTGGTTCTCATATTATTGTGGTTCTCACATTATTAAACAGAGACATATTTGTAAAATATAACAAAACGGAAACATCTTAGGTTGCTGAATCAAAAAATAAGATGGAATAAAAGTGAAACCTTAATTATTTATTTTTCCTGTTCCATATGTTTCGGTGGCCCTGAACCTTGTGTTAAGCTTCAAGTTATTTATTGATTTTTTTTTTTTTTTGAAAGACATCTGTGTTTCAGAAAGTCTTTTGGCCATAGCTGGCCAAAAGACATTCCCTTACTACTGATATTGGCTAAGATTTGATCCAGTTCTGACTGTGGACCAGTTACCAGCTTCTTTGTTTTAGTGGCAGTTGGAAAACAACTATAGAAAGCATAGCACCTTGTGCTGCACAGGTCAGGCTCAGTTAAATGACATTATCATTTATTATCACTAGAGGTGTGCCGATCGATCTGCCACCGATCATAATCGGCCGATTTCCGTGAAAAAGTGTATGATCGGTCATCGCCGATCACAGTCTCTTGTTGCCGATCACACAAACGGATCACCTGCATCTCATTTCCCAGCCTGCCTGTGCAGCTGGTCTCCTCTTTCCTTCACACTGCGCAAACGCGTAGCAACAAATCCTAAGCGATGTGGAACTATAATGCACTGAGTGAATGAGGAAGTTTGCGTGTTGCGGTGGAAAATTGAAGCACGTCAAAATGCATCAACACGACGAATCTAATATGGCATAAAAACAGTGCCATACTTGACGGAGTTTGGCTACTTCAAGGCTCACTGCAGTAAAAAAGACATATGGAGGTACTGTTTATGATTAAAAAAAAAATTGTGATCGGTATCGGTGATCGGTCCTCATGGGTGAACGGTATTAGTATCAGCAGGAAAAAACCTGATCGGCACATCTCTAATTATCACAATATCAATTTTTACACCGGTGTCAAAAAAATCCATTGGTATCACCATAAACAAGGCAATATAGCACACCTCTAGAGTCCAGACAAATAAAACAGGTCTCCTCAGGTTGCTCTACATATTTCTGAGTAGCTGCAAGCAGCAGTAATGTGCTTGAACAGCCATGTTTTGCAAAGTGGCTTGTAGCACTGAAGCAGTTTAGGATCAGAAAAATGTCTGGACCTTGAACGTCAGTGTTACCAAGCTGACTATCCAACACTTTTTCAAAGAGTTTTTAACTCTTTGAAAAAGTGTGAAAAAGAGTGAAGACTTTCCTGATGGGCTCTGGGACCACTATTGCATTACTCCTGTATGTATGATTACCATTTATTTTTTTTCTCATTAGTTCATGTCTTCCTGTCTAAAATAGTCAGCTTTAATGGTGCAACACAACACTAGCAGACACACTCATTTAACAACCCTCATAAAACGTCACACTGCCAGTCAGATCAAGGAAGTGACTGCCCTCACTGTTGGCTTGCATTACTGGAAAGTGGGATATCAAAGCAATCAGCAGTGAAATTTGTAGGATTTGTAATTGGAGCTTCAGACTAAAATGTTTCCATGGTACTGAACAATCAAAATTAAAGAGTTTCCAGAGAGTTTCTTCTAAAATGACAGCTGGATTGTCTCACTGCTGCACACAGAAGTTCTCTGGGTGTCCTGTTGGAGAACGTTGGAAGATTTTAAAAAGCCAGTTTTGTTGCATTTCACATGTCTTCAAATACAAATAATTTTTAAATTTTTATTGTTTTAGCCTATCACATCCACATACTGTGTAGGAAAGTTTTGTTGCTTAATGGTCATAATGAGATTAAGTGATATTTAAAAATGTAGATGCACCATTTATTAATTTTATGGAAGAAACATTGGGAAGACCTAAAAAAAAACAATCTGACTAACAGTTTTGAAAAAAACATTCAGCTTTAATGTCAAGTTGATTTATAATAGAACTAGACAATATGGTGGAAAAACATATCACAATGCAAGCATTTCATATCAATTGATACTGATAATTATTGATTAGTTTTTTTTGTTTCAGATACCTGAAATACTGCCAAACTGGTGGCGTAATCCTTCCTGTTTAATCCGCAGTTTTCGCATAACGGATTTGTTACGCGATTTGTTTTTAATCTGTTATGAGGCATGGTGACAAAAACTGCTACTGCTGCTGCTCAAGTTAATCCAAGGTTATTGCTAGGTAACCAAAGAACGAATGAGTTAGTTGATGCCCTCTATCTGATGTAGCTTGCTGTGAGAGGTTGAACAGCTAAAGCCTTTCCTCCGCCTACATCTCCCAGAATGCTGTGCGGTTCTGGATTGGAGTTCAGTGAATATTCTGCTGAATATTCAATATTCTATCAGATGTATTATCTATTGATGTTTGTCATGTGTCTATTGCTATATCTATTGTTATTGATTTATTGTCTAGCCCTAATTTATAACTGATCATAGCCGTCTGCATCCGAATCAAATTGGGAAGTGACTCTGCAGATTTTCACCCTTTTGTTTAGTTATAGTTATAGTGGGTACACTGATTATGAAAATTTTGGCTGATTTTGATATCCGCTCTTAATATTGCTGTCATGGCCTATAACAAATTTTTGCCAACAATATATATTGCTGTCATGGCCTATAACAAATTTGCTATATATATTAGTTGTGTGCTAATTGTTTGTCCACCGATCATAATCGACTGATTTCTGTGAAAAAGTGTATGACCGGTGATCGCCAATCAAGTAAAGCCTTGAAACGAGCATCCCTAATAGCTAGAATTTATAACTACATGAGGCAATTATTGCACATATTTGTGGGATAGGTTATTTATGCAAGCTCTGTTTATGATGAAACTAACAGTAAAAATGTAATCTTAATAACTGCTGAGCTACGTCCTGATCTTTTCAGCTGCAGTGGTGTCTGAGGAACCGAGGCTTCAGTCCTCATCCTCAGATGAGCATGGTTTGATATCCGAGATCATTTTGATTAAAAAATGTGACCCGACTCCTTTACATGTCATGAGGAAAATGACTTATAAAGTCCAGTGGGGTGTCCACTTTCAAGGTGTGCTTAAAGCAACAGGTGATGGATAAAGTAATGAAATGTCTGATTTAAAAACCTCCTGTCCACTTGCTCATTTTTTGTTCTCAGTACATAGATTTGATCATGAATCTGGAGAATTGCATTTAAATGTTGAAATTTGATTCATTGACCATATGAATGGACATTTTAGATAACAGAAAATCAAATAAAATGGGATCTCTTCTGACCCTATTCATATACTATGAGCCACTAACAGTCATTTTCTATTTCTGGATATAAATAGTCCTCTGTGTTGTTCTTTTCAGTCATCTTACTTTGCCCATTCAGGGTATTTTCAGCCAGTATCACTTGGGTCAGTGATAAATGGAGGCTAACTTCACGTGTGTGTTATGAAGGACGCATCTGTTTATCTATGCTGTCCATGTGTGCTGCAATGAAGTTGGAGGAAACATTCAGATTCTAGAGATGAACCATTTAGTGAAAGGAAGAACCAGGTACAAACACTGTGCCCTTCCTGTCTTAAACACTCTCCTTAGCAGCTGTCATTTTTCCTTCTTTCTGGTACTAAAATAAGGATTTTCCTCTGATACCTTGGCTGATTTTTCTGCTTTCAAATAAGCAATGGAGTTTAGAACTTTTCCCTGGATACCTTTTTGGCTGCCCAGCAACAACCTCTTTCCTAACTCTATCCTTCACGTGTAGTGATGGCATTGCCTGCAATTTCCTGTATCAAAATACTAGCGTTATTTTAGAGGAGTCACAAGTCAACTTTACATCTTTTTAAAGAAACTTGTAATTTTTTATTATTATTTATAAGGATGGCCTGAAGACACTTTGTTCTCCCAAATTTTTGACCAAAAGAATAAAATTAATACAGAATGTGGTGCACATTATCATTATGAAAATGTATGAAACTGGAAGGATTCATACTTCCTTCCAGTTGTATGAAAGGATGTATGGCAAACATTTACTATATTTTTGATATTTTTAGTAATAAGGCAAACCTCAATGTTTGTCATAAACTTTGCCATATCACAAAATATGTTCTGTTTGAAGTAGGGATGCTCCGATCAGGTTTTTTTTGCTGCCTATTCCAATCATCCATGAGGCCGATCACCGATCACTGCCGATCGCCTGGATTGGCTGTTAATTTTTCGCTTTAGGTATAAATGATACAATGTGATCTGACATATAGGAAAAATGATCTGGCAATAAATTCACCTATTTTAGACATAAAACATGCAAAATATTTGCAGGCACAATACAGCAGCTATTCAGTCAAAAGGACAATTGATAAACCTGAAATCAGTGAAATACTATTTAACAGTAAATATAAACAAATTTGTAAATATATTAATAAATTATACACGAATCAAATAAATCTCACAGCACTCTTTATATCAAATAAAGTCAAGAAAAAAAGGAAACATTCAAAGTCAAATGCAGGTTACATCAAAATAAACAATCCCGAGTTACTAAATCAAAACTTCCTAAGAGCATGATTAGCTGATTAATGCTGCCTCTCATTTGTTGGCTCTGACTGAGCGGAGAAATTCTGCAGAATGCCAGGAGGTAGAGGAGATTGATCTTTTTTTCTTTTTTTTTTTTACCCCCCAGAGATTATCTGTCGAATGCTAGGACAGCGAAAGTTTTATGTATCTGAATTTTTTTTTTTTTTTTTTTTTTTTTTTTTTTTTTTTTTTTTTATTTTTGTGGTGCACCTTTGTACACTGGGTGGGGGTGAGTGATTAACTGGGGGGG